TTGAGTCATGCATATCTTTAAAAAAAGTAGACTACCATTGCAACTGCTTTTTTATGTATGTCTTCAATTTATTAACCGCTTTTACCAAATCATTAAGCACACACTTTGCCCAATTGTATTAGTTGATCTTCTTCACATCATCAACCATTCCAAAAAAGTATTTCGACACCTCATGAGCAGTGTTTGGAAATAATATGCATCCACATGCATATAGTACAAAAAGTCGCTTAAAATCATCATCAGTGCATCGATCACCCCAATTTCGAAGCATCTCACCAATTTTGCCAACCTTCAAACTCTTTTTTTTTTTCATTAAACCACCTTCTTTCACCCAACTCCAGTTGGTTATACCCATGTCTCCTTCTGAGTTCACCATTACTAAGTGACCATTGGGTATCCCAAGAATGTGCTTGACATCTGTCGCTGTTATCGGAATGAGTTTATCCGAAAGCCTCAAACCGCATCTGCGCTTATCAAAATTTTCTATCAGGTACTGACAAAGATATTGGTTCAAGTTAGTACACTTCAACTCAAGAAGATTTCCAAAACCTATATCCCAAACAGCATAAATCTGGTCATCTTTAAAACTAAATATAGTTTCAAAAAAAAATCTTCACCGGCATTGTGCTCACTCTTATTTTCTGTAACAAATTACAAAATAATAAGTAAAAAAATTGTGTCTTAATAAATGTGCTACCTAATAAATTTATAATATTAATAATCATTGATGAGAGAAAACCAAATATAACACTATAAAATAGTCTTCAAAGAATTGTAAAAGGGAACGTTATTCTATTCTCCACATTGTAAAAATACATAACAGTTTTCAAAGAATTGTAATAAACTAGAACCCCTTGAATATTACTATCAACTATCCCTATAATGTAGAAATTCTTACCTTAGGCTTTTTATGATTTTTCTCCTATTCCTTTTTCTCAGTATAAGACACCATATTCTTTTTGTATTGATCTCTAAATGGCTTTTTATCAATTTCTGACATCGAATTCCATTCTTTTGAATACTCCTTGTTTTGCCCCACCACATTTGTACCAGTTTTTTTATTTTGTTTTCTAATAACATGACATAAAATCAAATATATTAAGAACAACAAAATATATACATAAAATATTTTAACAAAGTAATATTTTATAAAATTTGTACCTATATAATAAGTAGCAATTGGTCGGCTTTTGTGGAGTATCTTCCACGTCTGCGGGACTCAAGGAAGTAGCTTGACGTTTCTATTTTACAGCAGTTGAACGTCCCATCGTTAAACTATAAATTTAAAAAAAAAATAAAATAAATTTATTCGTAACGCTGGTCTTAGTCCCAATCAAAATGGTGGAAGGTAATCTAAAGAAGAAGGAGAGTACCGAGAATAGCTATCAAATTAGCTCCAAAGCATACTGAAACATATGTATCATATTCCATGTTCCATATTGAAAGATAAAAACATCTGTGATGATGTTGAATATAAGGGGAAGAAAAAAATTACTAGAAAAAGAATATACAAGGGGGGACCCTCATCATATCAACTATAACACAGACAATTAAATGTCAAGCTGTCAGAAATCACAAGATCAAGCTTACGAAATCATAAAATTGGATATGGACAATGCAAAATGACATTAAATTGTAAAACAGATTATCAGCATGTAACTGTAGCTGTAGCAGTTAGGCATAGGACACACATCACCCCTTACCAAATCACAACTACAGAACAAGGGCATCTGATTGATAACTCTGATGCAGAGAAAAGGTTTCCTCAGTGACTAATAAGCTTATACTAACTCTATAGTCCAATTTCACAACACAACATCAGAGGGAAGTCAGAGAATGGAAAAATGCTTGGATGGGAATAAAGGAAGAATAGAATAAGATATGAAGCATGATTACCCCCTATGCTGGTCCAGTTATATAGCTCACATGCCTTGTTATTGTCCATCACCCTAAAGCTGCTTAGATTACTTGAATAATGACTTCCTTTCACACCCCCCAAACAGGAAAAAAGAAAAGGATAACAGATTCCATGAAGGTGGACGAGTTCGTTAACAATTACATTTAATAAGATGCAGGTCTTTCTTTGCCTACACTAACAAGATGGAGGTCTTGAGTTCGATTTTCCTCCCATGATACACTAACCTCACATTCTCACCCAATGGGCAACCAAATAATAATAATAATAAGGGATAACAGAACAAAATATGTTGACTACAAGATTCAAGCAAAAAAGGAAAAGAAACAGTTTTGAACAAGAATGTAAGCTAATAAAAACAGACATTTAAGTAAATTCAACTTCGATTTCAAACAAACTATCAAGTCAAATAAGGTGTTTACCAATCAATGAGACATGAAAATTGGAGGAAAAAAAAAAAAAAAAAAAAACACAAATGATAAGAACTATTTTACCTTTAAAGTTCAAATCATGACATTCAAATCCTAAAATCATTAGGATACCAAAACTTTGTTTCAATTCAAAGTTCTTTCAGGTCATAATTAATAACACAATCAAAAAATTCCCTTATGTTCTTAAAGGATATGATACAATTACAATTTTTAAATGCTAGCTAAAAATTTAAATAACTTGCCTTGACCATATTGTTAGCCATAATCAAACATTGAATTCTTTTCAACTATAGAACCCCACTTCATCAACTACCTTTTGCTTATACTGTTCAATCTGCCTAAGTCATAGTGTATTCATAGGAGGTGTAAGTAAATGGATCAAAGAAGAACCCAAATTTTGGTTTCCTATCCTTCTCATCTGCCTTCTCGACAACAAAAAAGAGGTTTATATAGAAGAACCGAGTTTTCTTTCCAAAACAGCATGAAAATTAAAAAGGAAAAATCAGCATACAAAATTTATACGTTGAATTTCTGATTCTAAATGATTTGCTTTTTCCAGTATTTGAATTTGACGGGAATAATTAAGCCAATTAGAAATTTATGGAACTTTATTTTTTGTGAAGGTACGAGGTTTTTTATTTATTTTTTTATTTTTTTATTTTAAGTTATGTGTTGCGTTCTTTAATAATTTAGACAAATCTATAATTGAATACTTTTACTACGTTTGTTTGTCGAGAAAATGGAGGGGAAAAGGAATTAAAAATTTCATTCTGATGTCGATTGGGTAACCAATATTTGAATAACTTCACCCAATTCAAACCAGGATCGTGAATTAAGATATGTTAGTTCTGGAAAGTATTAAACAATGAAAAAGATAAGATTTTGATTGACAAAACTGCAATTGCATGAAACATAACGATGAGAAATGTATGACAACTAATATATATATATATATATATAAATCGAAATAAAAATAAATAAATAAATGAGAATCTAAATGGAGTCGTCATGATTTGTGAATCATCGTTGGTCATATACATAATATATAGTTGTCTTATTTAAAGATAAATTATTCACATTCTACATATTAATTTACTTTATCGATTATCAATTATCTATATTTGCTTTATTTTCAGTATGAATATTATACATTGTAAATTGATATATGGGAGGAAATTAAATTTAGATTAGAATAATCCAAATTTTGGTTTCCTATCCTTCTCCTCTGCCTTCTCGACAACAAAAAAGAGGTTTATACGGAATAACCGAGTTTTCTTTCCAAAATAGCGTGAAAATTATAAAGGAAAAATCAACATACAAAATTTATTTGTTGAATTTTTTATTCTAAATGATTTGCCTTTTCCAATATTTGAATTTGACGGGAATAATCGAGCCAATTAGAAATTTATGGAACTTCATTTTTGGTGAAGGTACGAGGTTTTTTTTTTTTTTTTTTTTTTAAGCTATGTGTTGCGTTATTTAATAATTTAGACTAATCTATAACTGAATACTTTTTGTCATACTTCTTTCTTGTCATTCCAATTCATAACTAGTATAAAAAATGGGGTAGCTGGAAGCTTAAGCCTACCATGTTGATTTTGTTAATAAAATATATTGGCCAATTTATTGGGAAATCGTTGTTTAAAAAAGGCATTTAGGTTGACTGTTTAACTGATTTTGGATTGCAAACATAAATGCAGTTAGTATGTAAATAGATAAAGAAGAAGATTTCATTGTCACTAGCAGATATAATGATATACTGTGCAGAAATAAGTGTGATTTTGAAAGAGAGAGAGAGAGTTAGGGTTTATGAAGAGGAAAAGAAAGAAAGAAATGATGAGTACCTAAAAATACAGCCACAAGACAGGGACGAAGTGATGCCTGAAAAACTTAGTACCCAGTATGCTATTTTGAGGTACACCGTGATAAAAGAGGGAGATGGTGTACGAGACGGTGATGAGGGAAGGAGGTTCTGAAGTTTGTTTTTCTTTTTTTTTCTATTTGTTTTTTTTTTGGTAGGGATGCGGTAGAAATGATATTTTATTTTTCTTTTTTTTTTTTTACTTTCTATTTTATTTTTTTAACGTCGTTCATTTTTCCATTAGACTTTACAATTAGCAATTTTAAAACATTTTCTTTTTTCACTACAATATGAGTACAGCATGACCCGTTTACAATAGAGATTCCCAATTCATGATTATGTACTATTCCAATCTAAGTCGTGTGACTTGTGTCCTATTTTACTCATGCTTGCTCCTACTTTTGCGCCCAACTTACAGGAGACTTTTGTTCTTTAACATAATGGGTTAACATATTTGAGTACACACAGAATGAGGCAAGTTTGTTATTGGGCTAATCTTTTTACGTAGGGTAAATTACATTCACACTTTTTTGAGGTTATGTGATATTTCTATTGTACGAAGATTTTTAACTTTCATTTACATCTCAATTTACTTTTTTTCTCAATTTTTTAATATAAAAAATATATATAATTTTAAATGGCAAAAAAACCCTATGTTAATATATATATATATATATATGTATGTATATACACACCCTGTTTGTACGTGTAGTCCCGAGATCACCACGTAGCTATCCTGGCCGTCGCACACGTCAGCACCTTCTCGCATCATTATCTCACACATAACCCTGAAGCAGCAAACCCATTTCCTCACAACGGTCTCTCCTCTCCAAACTTTGTCTCTGTGCACTCTCACATCTCTGCAATCGTCTTGAACCATCTCATCTTCCTCCTTCTAACTCTCACCACTCTTTTCAACACCTTCACTTCCAAACCACCTTTGCACAGTTCGGCGTCAAAGCCCTCCCTCACTATATGAAAGGCGGCAGGGAAGCGGCGGCGGTGGAATTTGGACAGGTGTTGTGGCCGGAGTTTGGTTGATGAGAGGTTGCCGCCGAAATTTGGTTGATGGGTTGAATCTGTAGGTGACGCCGGTAAGGATGAAGAAGTTTGGTTGATGGGCTGGGTCTGTAAGTGACGCCGGTAAGGATGAAGAAGTTTGGTTGATGGGTCGGGTCTGTAGGTGACGCCGGAAAATCAATATTCCGGCAGCCGGAAAGCAATTCTCCTTCTCTGAGTTTCGAAGCTATTCGCATTCTTCTTCACTACGATACACACGAGAACAAGGTAAAGATTTTGTTTCCACAAAAGTTTTTGGATGATTGATTTGTGTGCGTGATTTGAATGAGGTGATCTGCGTGACGAAAGAGAGTGATTGTGTGATGTGAGATTGTAATTAATGGTTTGGCCTTTAAAGCTTATGCAGATGTATGTGAAGGTGTTCAACCTAACCTCATTAATTGCATTGATTTTACTTTTCAATGCTTTTTTCAGCATATATTTATGTAGAATTTTTGAAATTAGGATAATCAATTTCATTGATTTGAGATACAATTTTGATCTGAATAGTCAGAGTGAACGAGCCTGAGACTGTAACAGAACTGACAGAGCACAGCTCTGTGACTTAGAGTGCAACTATGATAATACCTGAAATTACTAATTAATTTTGCTATGTGAATTTTTTTTGGCGTACTCCGTATATATTTTTTTTGGGCAACTAGTAAATTTTGACAATTACCGGAGTTGAATTGGTTGAACGGTCGCAGGTGACGCCGGTAAGGATGAGACCTATGGAATCTGGGTTGTTGTTGTTGATGTGGGTCTTCTTGCGTTTGCTGTTGTTTTCTCTGGTTTGCTAGGCCATAAGTGAAGAAAATGGTGCTGATCTTGATGGTGACAAAGGGTGATTGGTATCACCGGGATAGGTCTGTGCAGAGAGAGAAGATGGCTTATGTGTGAAGTATTTTGCTGATGTGGATATTCATCTCTTGGTGCATGTGGGGTAGTTTGGTCACAAAAATAATCAACACATGGTCAAAGGATAGCATAGTCATTTAACACCTCAAAAGTACTTGACTTCACCAAAAATTGACATTTGGGGTGTAAGTGAAATGCTAAACCACTAATTCAAAACAAAAATCTTCATCTAGCTGAAATATGACATAACCTCAGGTAGTGCAAGTGTAATTTACCCTTTTATCTATGTACATTTTCTTGTAAAAATTTGCCAAGTGTGAAAAGACAAGATTCAATTATGAGAGGAGTCACTTCTTTTTATTTTTTTTTCCCATGGGTTAGATAAATAGTCACACACACTCACAAATATTCCACACTGTGGGGTATATTACTCAGTGGCCAGTGTCCAGCTCCTCGAGCCGGAGAGCTGGGTGTGCCTGTGTTCGTGTCTTCCTCCCTCTCCTTTGCTAGGGAAAAAAAATTTAATTAGAGGGAGGAAAGGTTATACCAGTCGCAAATCACTTTGTGCTTTAGTGTCAAAGATTAGGTATGTATCAGTGTAACCTACTAGCACTCTTTATTACCCTCTAATCACTCTTTCGTTGTCATTTGAAAGATGCCTTAAAATGTGGAGTTTTAACAAGAACATTGTTGGCTGTAGTTTCAACCAACTAAATAATTTCTAAGTGAAGAGAGGAAAAGAATGAAGAAACAAAAATTTTTCTGTATTGTATTGAAGTCTTTGTTGTGTTGATATATCTTAACAACAAATCTCTTACACTATATATACTATTCTCCCATAGACCTTTGAACTTTTCAAGACAATTCTCAACCACACACTTGATACATGCACTCACTTGATACATGTACACACTTGATACATGTACCCGCTTGATACATGTACAATAACAGATACATGAATGAACCCAAAATGCACAATGAACATGGCATTAATTTATTTTTAACACATCCCCCTTAATGCCATGTTGTGACACCCAACAATTCTCTAAAGTATTCAAACTTATCTCTTAGAAGTGCTTTGGTGAAGATGTCCGCATCTTGGTCTTCGGTCATGCAATACTTGAGTTGAATCTCATCCTCTTCCTCTTCTTCTTGAATTTCTTCCTTGCCACTTCTTTAATTGCATTTTCAAACCTCTTCGGCTCAATAACACAAAAATTGCAACTTGCATACACATCACAAAGACTTTTCATTCTTCTTGGAGTTGAACTTGGAGATGAGGAATTTGAGTTTGATGGAGAAGTTGGGCTTGATTGTAAGCTAGATACAGGAGACATTTCTTGTGGAAATTCAAGAAAATCTTCATTTTCGTTTTCTTGATTTCCTGATTCTTCATTGAAAATGGAGATTTGATCTTGAACTTTCTTCTCTTTCCAATCCCAAGCAGCCTTCTCATTAAAGAGAGCATCTTTACAAATAATCAATTTATTCTTTTTCAAATTAAAGAGTCTATAGCCCTTTGATTTTGAGCTATAACCCACAAAGATGCATTTTTCACTAGCTTCATCAAGTTTGTGCCTCACTTCTCTTGGAACATAAGTAAAACAAATACACCCAAAAACTTTCAAGTGGTTCAATGATGGCTTCCTTCCACTCCATGCTTCAAATGGAGTTTTATTCTCCACTGCTTTTGTTAGACTCCTATTCATCAAGTAAACAGCCGTATACACGGCTTTACCCCAAAATGATTTAGGTAGCCCCTTCTCATGAAGCATTGATTTTCCCATCTCAATAATTGTTCTATTTTTTCTTTCTGCCACTCCATTTTGTTGTGGAGTGTACCCAACCGTTAATTGCCTCTCTAAACCAATATCTTCACAAAACTTTTCAAACTCATTTGAGTTGTACTCTCCACCTCTATCACTTCTTAACACTTAGATAAGATGGCTACTTTGCCTTTCAACAAGCTTTTGAAATTTTTTGAAAATAGAAAACACATCTGATTTTTGTCTCATGAAATAAATCCATGTCATTCTTGAAAAATCATCAACGAAAATAATAAAATACTTGTTACTCGCATGAGTTGGTGTTGTCATCGGTCCACACACATCGATATGAACAAGCTCCAATGGTGCTTTAGCCCTCCATGCCTTTTCTTTCAGAAATGACTCTCGGTGATACTTGCCAAGAGCACAAACTTCTTTAACTTTTTGTATTGTTGGCAACCCATACACTATGCTATTTTGTTGTAAATTCTTTAAGCTTTGAAAATTCAAATGCCCAAGCCTTCTATGCCAAAGCCATGACTTATCAACAACATCCATCTTCAAGGCCATATTTTTTGAACATGAAAAAGTGAGGAAAGCTTCTATTTTTCCCCATCTTTATTTTTGCCACAATATGATTTTGTCCTCCCTTGTCATAAATTTTGCAAGAGTCCTCATCAAAATGAATGGAGTACCCATGCTCTACAAGCTGTCCAACACCTAACAAATTTTGCTCCAAATCCGGAACAAGTAACACATCCCGATTATGCTTTCTTCCTTTTTTTGTCTCTATGGCAATAGTACCTTTTCCCTTTGCTTGGACCAAGGCACCGTTTCCCATCCTCACTTGAGAATTTGATGAAGAATCAATCTCCAAGAATATGTTTTTATCTCCGGTCATGTGGTTACTACACCCACTATCAAGAATCCACGCATCATCCTTTTGTTCCGATGTCGTGTGACAAGCATAAAACATGCTCGCTTCACCTTCTTGCTCTTCATAAAAATTAGCTTGCTGATTTGTTTTCAACCAGCAATCTTTTTGAACATGTCCAAATTTCTTGCAATTGAAACATTGAGGTTTTCCCCGAAACCAACAATCTTTGTCAACATGGCTACTTCTCTTGCAAATTCCACAATTTTGTTCAGTGGACTCTATATTTCCACTTCTCTCAAAATTATTTCTTCCTCTTCCTCTTCCTCTTCCGTGTCTTCCACCTCTAGAAGATTCACCTTTGGATCGATCAAAACTTGATGGGTATTTTTCTTGATTTTTGGAACTTTCATTGAGCTTAGATTGAAAAGCACTTTTGTCTTTTCGGAGCGCCTACTCAACCTTTGCTCAAATGCTTTTATGGAACCCATCAATTCTTCAACACTTAAGTTTTCAAGCTCTTTAGTCTCTTCAATAACAGCAACAATAGGGTCATATTTTTCTGGCAAACTAATTAGAATTTTTTCAACAATTCTTTGATTAGAAATATCTTCCCCATAGGTCTTCATTTGATTTACCACCTCTATAAGTTTAGAAAAATAATCTTTCAACAACTCCATTTCTTTCATCTTCATATTTTCAAAATCACTTCTCAAATATTGGAGTTTTACAGTTCTTACCTTCGTGTTGCTCTATACTCCTTCTCGAGGATATCCCATGCTTCCTTTGCTTTAGAAGCATTGATAATTCTGGGAAAGATTGTATCAGCAACTCCTTGTTGAATCAAGCCTAAAGCTTTTGCATCTTTCTTCTTATGATCTTTCAATTGTTGTCGTTGGGCATTCGTCAAAATTGTTGTATCCTCCGGTTCATTGTACTCATCTTCAACATAATCCCATAAATCATATGAGAGAAAAATGGTCTTCATCTTCACATATCAAAAATCGTAATTTTCCCCATCAAAAATGGGAAGTGCTGATTGATGGGCACCTTGGTTTTGATTGGCTGTAGTTGCCATCATGATCGATCTTCTTTGGGGTTTGTTTTCCCGTCAAAAAGCTTCACGCCCAGTTTGCTCTTGATCGAAATCAAGCTCTAATACCACTTATGTTGGCTGTAGTTTCAACCAACTAAATAATTTCTAAGTGAAGAGGGGAAAAGAATGAAGAAACAAATATTTTTCTGGATTGTATTGAATTCTTTGTTGTGTTGATATATCTTAACAACAAATCTCTTACACTATATATACTATTCAACCATAGACCTTTGAACTTTTCAAGACAATTCTCAACCACACACTTAATACATGCACACACTTGATACATGTACTCGCTTGATACATGTACAATAACAGATACATGAATAAACCCAAAATGCACAATGAACATGGCGTTAATTTATTTTTAACAAACATGACTGCAGGCAGTCTAATGGATGCAATGAACAACTCAGAAGCTCCAAAAGAAGCACTATATACAGATATCAAGTCCTTCTTTGACTCGGCTCCTCCTCTAACACATGGTCCCGATATCAGTAGAAAATTGAATGAGTTTATAGGAAGGAATTCTGTATCATCAGGCAAGTTTGCTTCTCTATCTGCAGTTAATTATATAGATACTCAAGTTTCTAGCTCAACTTCCCTCTGTCCCATTTCTTCTATTCCACATAAATCATTACTATAAATTTACAATTGAGGTGCAGACAGGTGGATTGTTTTTTTTTTTTTTTTTTTTTTGTTGAGTCACAGGGTGGATTGTTTCTTGACATGTATTTTCAGGTAATGGAAGAGGTAATAGGGTTGTATGTGTAACTTCTGGTGGGACAACAGTTCCTTTGGAGCAACGATGCGTCCGTTACATAGATAACTTTAGCTCAGGCCATAGAGGAGCAGCCTCCACAGAGTAAACTGCCCACTGCACCTTATTTTATATCTGTTACTTTAATATCGATGCTTTAATCCAATTTTTACCAGATGGACCAACTGTGAAATGACAGGTATCTTGTGAAGGCTGGATATTCTGTTATCTTTCTCTATCGCAGGTAAATTTTCTATTCTTATGATGTTTGTGCTTCTCATTCTGTCAAGAATAAGATATTTATATGGTTCATGAGTGTACTATTTGTTGGAATAAGGAATAATGTAGGCTATCTGTGTATGCAGGGGAACCTGCCAGCCATATTGTAGATCTCTTCCAGATAATCCATTGCTTGAATGTTTCGAGTCCATCAATGAGTCGAACATTCAAGGTTTGTAGTTACTGCTTTTGTTGGTCACAATGCAAGTCTATAGTATAACACATTGCAAATTGATTACCTTTTTTTATTTTAATTTTTTTCATGCTTTGGCAAAGTAAGATACACGTTGAATTTAGGACGACCTTAATTTGATTACTGCAGTAGCCATGAGGAATAATGTAGTAAAATTTGAACGCTTTAAGTCCTTTATTTTGTTAAATTGATCTCATTAAAAGGCCAATGAATGTTTTAGGTCAAGAGGACTTGGGTTAGCAAATTTCTTGTCAAAAACTTTTCGTTTTTATAGGTTTTAAAGTGTTTTTTACTTTTCCTAGGGCACAATTGGAATCAAAGCTACATTGAAGACCAAAAAAGTGAACTTTATACTTATGAGAAAAAGATAAATTAGGGTTCATGCATTCATCAATTATGATTTTATAGATTTCATGTTTTGATGAATTAAAAATCCTCTTTGATATGAATATTAATGTTTTTGAAACTTTTTAAATTAAATTCTTAAAGTATAAAAAGACTGGGCACTTTGGTCGATCAAAGGATCAATCAAGGGTCACTAGCCTGATGTTGATCAATCAATCGTTGGTTTGATTCATTGAGCTTTGCGGATTGCAGTTTCCTTATTGAATTGAATCTCTTAAAATGACAGCGACTCTAAACTCTATATAAAGGCCTAAAAATTTCAAAATACCTAAGCATGCTACATTTTGTTCTTTCTGAGCATACGTAGGCATATAGAGTAAGTTAGTAGTGCTCTCCAAAAAATATTTGTTAGTAGATTTTATCTGTTTGGATTAGGTCCAGTGGTTTTTCCTTTGGCGTTTCCACAAAAACTATCTGTGTCCATTGTGTGATTGTGCTCTATTTACTTTATTGTTCTATGCAACTAATTACATGATGGATTGAATGGAATGCTTGATTGACAGTTATTTTAGTTTTTGAATTGTCAATATTTTTGTTGCTTTTCAAATATTAGTTAAAAATTCTTTACTAGCTTGTCAAGACCTATTAATCTCCCTTCTACAGAGCCAAGGGGAGCAAACGCAAGTATAGGCAACATATGTACATAATTAGTTCTCACCTTAGCTTAATTATCTTCAGTTAGTCAAGTAATATCTTTCATGGATGATTAAAAGTTTTGCGATTTTCATTGTGCCTCACACATAATTTCATGATCTTTCTTTTTGGGGAGGTTGTGATATACTGAAGTTTTATTTCTGCCAGCTTTGCTACGGCATTGAACTTTATAATTTATCATGATAGTTATGAGTCATGACCAATTTGTTCATGGATTTTGTTATGCTATCAGTTAAAGGTTCTCAGAATTTTGCTGAAGTGAGTTAATTTTGCTTCATATTTCAGTCTGCCAGTCACATTCTGAAGCAGTGCGGAGGGCCATTAGTGAACATCATGCAGTATGGATATCACTTATCTGTATTAGTTATTTTCAGTGTTATCAATGCATTGGCATAAGATTTTGTAATAGTGAGCCACAATGAGATCTCATTTTACTGCAGGCTGTAGCAGAAGGCCTCTTGTTGAAACTTCCCTTTACAACAATATTCGAGTATCTTCAGGTTTATTTCAGTTAATTATATGATATAGATCTCTAAACTCTCCCTGAAGTGCCAAATGCCAGTGTGGCAATCTATTGTCTCAGATTTCTCATCCCCATCTGTGTTATTTATTTATTTATTTGTCTGTAGTTAAATATCAGTTCTTTTGTGTCGTTTGCACTGTTTGGCATGCATTTTAAGTCAGGTTGGTGATCCACCTCTTATGTGAGGAATGTGCATGTCATGTGGATGAAATTTCTCAACCACGTGGCCATCCAAATTCGGTGATGCATTTAAGAAGCTATCCTGTTTATCTATTATCAAACTATATCTTAGACTCTGCTATCTAGTTCCAAGCAATATATTCTTCCTTTGAAGCATGGGTTCATGTTTAATTAGCATATGCTAATCTTCTTCATAAAATTAAGGAAAATAGCATTGAATTTTAAAATAGCGTTAAATTAGTCACATGATGTAGATCTAAATGTGTCAAATGCCAGTGTAGCGATCTTTTTTTCAAGATTTTTCATCTCCCTCCAAGGTTTACTTTTTTATTTTTTGTTTGTAATTAAAGATCTGCTCTTTTGTGTTGTTTTTTATTCTTTGGCATGCATTATACATCACATGGATGATCCACCTCTTCAGTTAGTTAGGTGCGTAGTCATGTAGATGAAATTTCTCAGCCATGCGGCCATCTGATTCGGTGATACATTTGAGAAGCTCTTCTGTTTAACTATTTAGCAATTACTAGATCTTAGATTCTGCTATCTAGTTCGAAGTAATATATTCCCTTGCGAAATTGAGCAGAAAAATAGATCACACACACAAGTACACACAGATTTTACTTGGTTCACCCAAAAACTAAGGCTATGTGGCATGGATTTCACTATGACGATCAAAAACAGCAGCGGATACTGAGAGTTCAGAATGAATAAATACCCTCGCAATAGGGCAACATAACAAGTGCCGAAATTACCAAAATACCCCCCCAAAATTTCGGGGAGATGGGCCTTGGTGTACAGTATCTATCAAGCTCCATACTACCCATCATATTCTTCCTATGAAGCATAGGATTGTAAGGTAACCAGTAGATGCTTATATACTTGATGAAATTAAACAAAATAGTGTTGAACTTCGAAAATAACACTAAAATCAATGTGATTTAGATCTCTAAACCTCTTACTGATGTACCAAATGTTGTTGTAGCTATCTGTTTTTCAAGTTTTCTCAATGTCATCCATGGTGTATTTTTCTTTTTTTTGCTTGTGTAATTAAAATCAGCTCTCTTGTGTCGTTTACACTCTTTGGCATGCATTATACATCACATGGGCCCATGTGGATGAAATTTCTCAACCATGCAGCCATACGAATTTGGCGATGCATCTAAGAAGCTCTCCTGTTTATCTATTTATCAAAGACTGGATCTTAGACTCTGCTATCTTGTTTCCAAGCAATCTATATTCTTCCCTTAAAGCATAGGGTTCCTATTTAACTAGAAGACTGTTAGGATAGTGATTAATGTGATGGAAAATTCCTACGGGAAACTAGGGTTGTAAGATTGAACAAAATGTCTTAAATCAGTTTATCTACTATTGAAGGAGCTGATGAAGATAAAAGCGCAAGGAAGAAAACACTGAAAATTCGTCAATCAAATATCTAATTTAGAGTAAGATGACAATGTAGCAGTCAAAATTTTAGGTTGGATTCGTACTTTAGATAGTTGAACCTCTCATGGCCATTGTTTAATCATTAAAATGTTAGAAACCTAATTGTGTGCAAATTCTGTAGTCAAAACTCGTTTAATCGAGTTATAGTTTTATATCTGTTGAGTCTTGGTTTCAAAGTTTTTGAAAGCAAAATATGGATCCATCACAACCTCGAATCTAAATGAACTTAGTTTAACAACACTCAGGTCATGTAAGTGAGCATTGTGGGGTCACTTTGCTTGTTAAATTAGTTGAAGTGTTTTATGAAAATTCTTCTTAAAGTTTTAAAACATAATAGGATTTTATAGGTTGGACTCTTTCTTGTACCGGTTGAATGTGCACTTGTTTTTAGAAAATTTTAAATAGAATGCCATTCTACCGGTAGAATGTGTTTCTGTCCAATCCTTAAACTCGACCATAATGCACTTGAATCAAGTATGAGACTGAATCTTATGGTCGTGGTCATCGATGTCAAATGCTGGTCGTCATGGTGGTTGTTGTTACAGAGGTCGTTGCGGTTGTCATTGTGGAGATTGAATCAGTTATGGTTATTGTAGTGGTCGTCATCATCATGATCAAATCAGTTGTACAATTGTTGTCATCTTTAGAGATATAACCAGTGGCCGTCGTCATTGAAGAGATAACCAGTGGCCAACATTGTTGGAGATATAACTAGTGATCATCATCATCGAAGATATAACCAATGTCCATCACATTGAAGGTTGAACGTTGATTTGAGGAAGCAGAAGAGGAGTGTTTGGTGGTAAGGAATCAGATGTCCTACTCTGGAATATATTGACATACTGGTTATACTTGTTGAGCTATTACGGAGTATAAGTTAGAATAACTGTCAATCTGATTGGAGAAAAACCAGATGGACTTTTGACACACTCCGTCCAACCTGTTTAGAGCAACCTGACTGAAACAACTGAATTAGTATTTTTTATTTTTTCTCTGACAGGTCCCATTTCAAGCTAGTTTAGTCAGTTCAGTTTCATTTTTTTTTCAGTTCAGGTTTTTTCTTTGTTACTGGTATTCAGTCTACTTTCTTCTCTTCCCACTCGTATATTGGTCTTCTCTTCTTCTCATTTTGATTTGGTTCCTTTGGTAGCCCATGGGTTCAGTTCTCTTCTTGAGTTCAGATTGGTTCAATTGGTACCCAGTTGGTTTAGTTTGGCATCTAATTCAGATTTGTTTTCCTCCACAATTTCCATTTAACTCTCCCATGACTTCTGTTAAGCTTAATGGTAGGAATTATATTTTATGGGCTAAATCTGTAGAAATTTTTCTCAAAGCCAAAGGTCTCAGTAGTCATTTGGTTGGGGATAAGCCGAAGAAAATGATTTTCTTTCATTGCCTGGGAAAAGGAGGATGCTCAGATGATTTCATTGATGCTAACTAGCATTGAACCTCACATCAGCTCAACCTTACTCTATCTCGATACTGCCAAGCAAATATGGGAGCGTATGAAGCCAATGTATTATGGGACTTGTAATATATCACACGTATCTATATGAGGTGTGTAAGCAATACATCAATCTTGAACATCGAACTTATAATAATATTTTCAAAAGTTTTGAGAGTTTGTGGAACTGAATGCTAGGGCAGCGAAAGCGAGCGAATAAGAAAGATTTAATGAAATTCAATAAATCGATCAATTTGTTCACGTGCTTCCGCTACACCAAATTGGTATCAGAGCCGAAGGTGAAGGAGGTCTAGAAAACACAAGGAGTCTCAGCATGTACTACAATGGGTTTCAGTTGTAGGTTGAGTCAATCGGCTTGGTTGGTCACAATGTCAGAAAATCGTGATGGGTTCATGGCATGGAGCTCGAGTAGTCAAGGTGAAGCCTTGGAGGATTGGCTGATCAAGAAAAGTGTGGTCAATCAAAGTTTTCTAGGGGGATCGTCAAGATTGAAGTTGCAAAAGAATTGTTCTGATCAATGCCGTGGAATCGATTGATTGGATGGAATTTGAGCTAAGGTGGAGATTATTGGAAATTGTGTCTCAAATTCTTATTCTAATTAGGTTTCTATTTTAGAGTTGTATTTGTTGACTTTAAGATATAATCAAATCAAGACTACGTGATAAAGTAGTAGAAGAAGAAGAAGAAGAAGAAGAAGAAAGCGGATGAGAGAAAGAGAGAGAGATGGGGAAAGAGAGATAAAATGAAATAATACTTTCATCCTTCCACCACATTCTATTTATAATAACAAGTTTCAGAAATTACACATAACCCCCAACATTATATAAGTAAAAACAAATAAGCCCCTGATAACACCCCCCCTCAAGCTGGTGCAAAGGTACCTATCATGCCCGGCTTGACTAACGTATTTTGCAAGCAAGTCTTGCTCACACCCTTAGTCAAAGCATCAGCAACCTGATCATGTGTGTTAACGTAAGGAATACAAATTAGTCCAAGACTAAGCTTCTCTTTGATGAAGTGTCAATCGACTTCAATGTGCTTTGTCCTATCATGTTGAAATGGATTGTGGGAAATGCTAATAGCATCCTTGTTGGCATAATACAACTTTATTGACTCGCGAAAAGGATAACTCAACTCGCCCAACATCGTACGTAGCCATAACAACTCACAAACTTCATGTGCCATGGATCTGAACTCAGCCTCTGCACTAGATCTAGCTACTACAGACTGTTTCTTGCTTCACCATGAAACAAGATTGCCTTCAACAAATATGCAATATCCTGAAGTAAATCGTCGATCTGTCACAGACCCTGCCTAATCAGCATCAGTATAGGCTTCAACATGCAAGTGGCCATGATTGCCAAATAATATCCCCTTACCAGGTGAACCCTTGAGGTAGCGAAGAACATAATGAGCTACCTCAAGGTGAGGCGTACGTGGAGCAGCATAAACTGACTAATCACACGAATAGCGTAGGCAATATCCGGGCGTGTGAGAGATAAGTAAATCAATCTCCCAACCAATCGTCGAAATCTTCCCACATTATCTAATGGGTCTCCATCTACATTATTAAGCTTATGGTTATGCTCAATGGGAATATCAATTGGTCAAGCTCCAAGCCTGCCTGTTTCAACCAACAAATCTAACACATACTTCCGTTGAGAAATGAACACCCCTTTCTTCGATCTACACACCTCGATGCCAAGAAAGTATCTCAATGATCCGAGGTCTTTGACCTCGAACTCTATCCCCAAGAATAACTTCCTTCGACGAATCTCTTGTGGATCATTTCCAGTGATAACAATATCATCAACATATACAATAAGGGCAGTGTGCAACCCTGGTGCTTCTTGATAAAGAGAGTATGATCTGTCTAACTCTGTGCGTAC